TCGCATTGCATCATTAGGTTGGTAACTGTAGCACCTTGACATTTCGATCTCTCACCTTTGGCTAATTGCATCAGAGCCAGATGGTCCAGACGTTTTCCAATTAATTTGCACTTGCAGTCGCTTTTCGCTTTTCATATTTCATTCGATATACGGACGGACGGGCTATTGTATTTTCATTTTCACTACATTTCTCCATGAAAGAGAGTGGTGCAGGGGGAGATTCTCACGTCAGCAATTAAAAAGCAGCCACCGAACGTGAAACAGTTATGGTAAATGGCACTACAGCGGGTGACATTTAAGACGGGGTCTGATAAAGACGGGTTCCAATTTATAAGGCGAGAGAGCGCACATGCCGGGCACGTGGTCTGGCCCACTCGGTCTCGGTCTCAGTGCATAAGTAATTAAGTGCAATTTATGGCCAATTTCCCCGCATCGAACCTGTTTCGGTGCATTTTCATTCCCAATATCACAGAGAGAAAAAGGGTTAAACCAATTATTTAAATTTGTTGAAAATAATAATATTCTCTAAAAATATTAAAATAGAAACTTAAGCAAAGAGAATATCAAACCTTTACAGGTTTTTTGATTTTTTTCTCACAGTACATCAATTTGCACAAAAAGAGGTGCAGCTGACCCCCCACTCTTCTCCAGCTCCCACCCCAGCCTCACCTCCCTGCCAGACTCATCTGTCATCGTGAGTGACTGAGAGGGGGATAGGTGGGTGATCACTCGACGGGCGCATGACCCGCCAGCCAACAAGCGCAATGAATACAAAAAAATTAAATAAATACAAAATGAACAAGTTCTAACCGTTTATAGCCAATGCTTTCTGTGTTGTGGGGTCTTTCTTTATCTTTCCCGTCTATCTGTTTGTTTATATCTTATTGGCCAACTAAGAGAAAGAGAGCTAAGCACCCAGCATCTTTGATCGCTCTCTAGTTAATCCCACTCATTCTCTTTTTTTTTATTACACGTGGGGCGCTCAAAAAGCGCTTTAATCGGCCCCCAATATAATGCTGCAGATGCAAATAAGGGGCCCAGGCCGCCCAACACACTCCACACCAAGGGTTCAAAGTACAAAAGACGATCCCTCTCCACTGACGTCATGGCTTGTGTTACAGTTACAGTTGGGGTTTGGGTTTCGGTCTTCGGTTTCGGTTTTCGGCTGGGGGGGCCATTAAACTACATAAGCAAACGCCAAACAGTTGCGATCACCGGTCACCGGTGAAGAAGGGGACGGCGAAAGGGGGTGTTCGGTCGCCAACAAATAAACACAACTGCAAACCAGAGACAGAGAGAGAGAAACAAACAACGGCAACAAAACAACACTCACTAGGCGAGTGCCAGTCCAAAGTCCATTTGGCATTTCGGAGACTCGGGTCCAAAGTCCATATCGGGTTTTTCTGCTGCCAGCCAGCCATCTAGTCATAGCACCCCCCGCCAAGCCCCACCTGCCCCCCCACGGCTCGACGGCCTTCTCACGTTTACATCTGTTGTCTGAGTGCACTGAGCGAGTTGTGTGTAAGAAGAGCGTCGCTCTTTTTCTTCACACGCTCTCTCATCAGCTCCACCATCTGCTCCACCATCTGGGATTACATATGTATGTACATTGTGTGTGCCAGAGACTCCACTTTGTTTACCTTTGTCCACTCTTTTCTCTTAAACACGCTCTTGCTGGCATCTTGAGGGGGCTCTTAAGAAAAGTCAAGTTGCAGGTGTAGAAAAGGAGTGTAATTTTACAAGCTTGTTGCTTGGGGTTAGCACATCAACTAGAAAACAAATATATAAAAAAAAAATTAACAAATATTAGTATTCTAATAGCCTTGAGATTTCAGTTTATCTGCACTTAAAAGCACTTGTCACTTGCGACCCTAAGTAGTACAAGCTTCGTAGTAATTAAATTCTAAAGGTTTATTCCCCTTTTTTGAAAAGTAGGTGAAAGTTTACTACAAGTTAAAGCAGGGCTATTAAACCACCTAAACACCAACTAAATGTTTAAGCCATAAAAAAAGTAACTAATAATAGTCGAAGCTTACCCTATTTTGGGAAACACCCTCACTAAGCCCCAAGCCACAAGCCCCACAAGTATGTAAAGTAAAAACAATAGCACGTGTGTCGTGTAGAGAAGAGTCGTGGAATTTTACGCGCTTGTTGCTTGGCTTGGGGGTTTTGGCGATTTTACGAGCTCCATAATAAACCACCGAAAAAAAATTACTGGCAATAACAACAAATAAGTCGTTATATAGTGCGGGGAATACATATTACGAAATGCATTAAGGCGTATAATCAAGAAGGGTACTTTTGTTATCTGCCAGGGGGGAGGGTAGCGATATAATGCATGTCGTGGGAGGACAGTACCCGCCAAAAAAAAAAAAAGTTGTATGGGGAATTATGAAACTTTTCGGTTATGTCAGGCTGGCTGCTCACTGAAGCTTGGAGTCGAGTTTCCCGGCTTATTTGCCAGAGTTGCTAGCGCCTCGCTCTGCGCTCAAAAAATAAGTTCACGTTCGCCATTTAGCAGCGATTCGCTTTTGTGTTTTATTTAATTTTAGCGAAATCCACAAAAGTGGACTTTGCACTTGACAGCAGCGACGACAGCGACGATTTTCTGAATGTTTTTTTTTTCAATTTTTTTTTTGTTATTTTTGCGGTGAATGAATGTTCATGTGTGCCTTTGTATTAGTTGTTTCGGTTCCGCCTGTTGCCACGTTTAGACGCTTCTGGCTCCCCATAAAACCCACAAATGATTCAAAATTTAAAAAAAATAAAAAATCTAAATTTAAAAAAATAGATACCACTCAGTGGAATGAGTATTTTTTGCTTGATTGGAATGTTGGAATAAAAATATATGTATCTTTAAAATGCGACTCTATAGATGTATCTTTTTTCATCTTCTCTAGTTTTTCCTTATCTCTTTATAAATATTGGCTATAGCTTTATATTTAAATGAATCTGTTTACCGAAAAAACGTTGTTTTTATTTATTTTTTCGTTTATTTTTTGTTTATTTCGCGTTCATTAACCCTAAAGCGATTAAAAAACAAGCTGCGTTCTTTATTACAAAATGTGATTTGCTTCAAAGCCCCAAATAATTGACGGAGTTTCGAAAGATTTGTTTGCAACATCTGCCGGATCCATTGCCATTTCCATTTCCATACCCATCTGGCCCTCTTGATTCCCTAAATTCTGTTAGGCATTCCGCTCGAGGCAAATGGCGCAGTATGGGATTTCAGTTATTACGCTGGTTGGAGCTCTCGAGAGGCTTCATTAGATACGCTCTCTGGCTGTCAACGGCAGCCCCCACCCAAGACCCCACCATAGGCCATGAATTTAATGCCAAACACTTAAGAAAAAATTGGGCATTTTCTTTATGACTTTATTAGAAAGCTATTAAAAGTATATGAAATTCTGAAAGAACATAATCAAAAATATATAATTTTCATAGCCAGTTTTATGATTTTTGATTATTTTAATACCACTTTTTCTCACTGTGTCTCACTTGCCACTTTCCGCAAGTCGTAAGCTTCCGTCGCAGCTGCCAGGCCTGCCAAGATGAACATCAAATTCTCGGCTGACGCTTCTCCAAGAGTCGTTACTAACCTGCCACGCCCCCTCGCTCTATGTAAATCGATCTGGGTACTTGATTAATTAATTGCGTTTCGACTTGGAAACGCAGTTTGGAAACTGTTTCCAAGCACCCACCAAGTCACCAAGCCCTCAGCAGCAAACCGCAACTGACGATGACATCTGTCGTCTTAATTAGTCCAACAACTAACTGAATTCCGAGAATTCACTTACACCCGGGTTTTTTTTTTTTTTGTGGGAAAAGTGTCCTTTGTTGAAGGTGAAAAAGCAAAGCAAACAAGGCAACGTGCGGATGCAAAAGTATGCTTTTCCAACTAGAACAAATTGACTCAAATTTCAGAATAATGGCTAATAATATTCAGTCATAAATTTAAACACCACCCACACTAGAGAGTCCTGTTGCTCCTGCCAGTCCTCCCCAGTCATTCATCTTGTTTTTCCTGAACGCTTTTTATGCTATTTTGCGGTTTCGCCTAATTGGAAATGTGAGGGGGGGGAACCACAAAAAAAAAAAAAGCATAAAATGCGAAGGCGTTGATGCGTGAGCAACTTGTTGCCTTGACTAACCCAGACTCGGAAATATATATCTCATTATGCAAAGTGCTGAAAAGTGGCAGGAGGGGGGTCTTTATTTAAAGGTGAGTCCCTGGGGTTCCATTTCTATCTGTATCTCCCTGTTTGCCAAACAAACACATTATTTTTGGTTGTATTTTTGTGTTTTGACGTTTTTGAAATTTCATTTCGGCGCCAGCCAATGCAACTGCCTTTGGGGCTTGTTGGGGGGCAGCTTGTTAAAGCCAAACCGACAGCCAGATAGATGGGGAAAACATTATGAACCAGATACAGGATGCTGTTGCTAGGCGAAATGCTGCCACAGCCACTGCCCACATTTGAACTTGTTCTATTCGAAATGATGACACGCTCGTTGCATAAGCAAATATTTCTGAAAAGCCACAACCAAGCCGACATCCCATCATGCCACCACACTTACACATCCACTGGCATTCCCAATCGCACTCCCCATTTGCCATTTCCCAATCCATCCACTTGCCAGGAGCAGTTGTTGCTGCTGCTTCTGCTTCTGCGGATGTTGCTGGCTGTCATGGCAATGTTGTGAGATAGACGACAGGACATGCTCGCTGATACAGCTTCTGGTTCTGGTTCTGGGTTTTCCTTGCTTTTACTTTAGCGTTGATGCTGCTTTAGCCGCATGTCGCTGACAGGGTCTGTCAAGTTGAATTGATAAGTCGCTGATCCAGAATAGATTGAAAAACAGTCACCCATGTCGGGCGTAGATTAAACTTTAATTTGTTGCTGGTGGAAACAATGAACTTGCAACCAAGCGAGAAATGAGGGTCTTACGCACTCCACACAATTATCATAATAGCTAACCTATTTCATCCTTGACTCTTCCAGGTCTGCCGCGCCCTGAACATCATCTGCGAAATGGAATACTTCGGCCTGGAACACTGGACGCCCAACCAGAAGGAATCACAGACCCGTCAGTGGATCAATCTGAGGAATCGCCTCTCCGGCGACAGCGGCAGCAGTGGCAGTGGCATCCAGCTGATGCTGGCTCTGCGTGTCAAGTTCTGGGTGCCAGTGCACTTCATCCTCCAGGAGAGTGTGAGGAATCTGTTCTTCATGCAGGCCAGGCGCGATCTTCTCGAGGGCCGACTCTCGGCTCCGGACTGGAGTGGAGCGGCCAAGTTGGCGGCACTGCTTTGCCAGGCAGATGGCCTGCGCTTCAATGAGTCGTCGGTGCGGGCCGAGTGCCCCATCAGGATGCGACGGGAACTGGCCCAGCAGCAGCAGCAGATGCAGCAGCAACAGCAACAGCAGCAGCGGAAGGAGAAGGAGAACGCCCTGAGCTTCAAGAAGCGGCGGCTGTCGAAGCAAAAGTCCATGGAACACATAGAGACCTGCACCCTGCCGGTGGCCACCACCCAGATACACAGCTTCAGCCTCCAGCCCTCGCCATCCGCCTCCGCGTCCGCCTCCACCTCCGCCTGCTCGCAAACCCACTCGAACAGCAGCTCCAGCAGCCCCAGCAACAGCAGCAGCCAAACGGGTCTGGACGAGCGTCTGGCCACCAATCCGCTGCGCATGTACGAGGAGTACCTGATCCAGCCGAGCTCCGAGGGCGAGCCCCCGGCGGACTACCTCCGGCAAATAGCCACCGAACACGGCAAGCTAGCCAAGCTGCAGATGAGTCCCAAGTCGGCCAAGTACTGGCTGCTGCAGTCCATTCAGGATCTCGACGGCTATGGCGAGGAGCTGTTCAGCGGCGTTACCACCAACGAGAGTGCCACACGATGCGACATTGCAGTGGGAGCCCATGGAATCACCGTCAGCCGCGGGGGTGAGAAACAAAGGTGAGTTCGAAGCTCTGATTCATCCGGGAGATCTTCAGCTAATCAGGATGTCTTTTTTTGTAGCATCCCCTTTGGCGCTATTGCTGCAGCCAAGTCGCTCCGACGCACCTTTAAGCTGGAGTACGTGGACGACCACAACGATCGCAAGGAGCTGGAGATCAAGCTGCCCAAGCAGCCCATTGCCGCGGGCCTCTACCGCTCGATCACGGAGCGCCACGCCTTCTACGTGTGCGACAAGGTCCGTGGCGTGGTCACCAATCAGTTTACCCGGGATCTCAAGGGCACCATCGCCTCCATGTTCATGGAGAACACGGAGCTGGGCAAGCGCTACGTCTTCGATATTCAGCATACGTGTCGCGAGGTGCACGACCAGGCCAGGAGGACGCTGCACGAGCGGGGCGGCGATCTGGCTGCCGAGGGGGCCGAGGGCTTCACCTCGGGTGCTGTGGATGGCGGCGCCGCTGCCATTGATCCGCTGGGAGCGGCTGGAGGCAGTGCGGGTGCCTGCAGCTCCATGGCCGGCAAGATAGATTTGGCCATACGCGAGAAGGAGGCGCGTGAGGCGGCGATTGAGCGCTGCGTGGACACGCGGATATCCGAGGCCATGCAGTGCAAGATCTGCATGGACCGCGCCATCAACACAGTGTTCAATCCGTGCTGTCACGTAATAGCCTGTGCCCAGTGTGCTGCGAGGTAAGTTCGATGATCTTCTGATAAAATAATCAAGTTACTAATCCTGAAACCCCCCTTACAGATGCAGCAACTGCCCCAACTGTCGGGTCAAGATTACCAGCGTGGTCAAAATCTATCTGCCACCGGAGCTGCGCACCAGCCAGTCCGGCAGCGGTGTCGCCATCAGCAGCAGCAGCATCAGCCAGATGGAGGAGCCCGACTTTGAGGAGCTGGAAATGACTTCCAGTATGGGTGGTGCCTCAGAGGCGGCAGCTGCGAGTGCGGCTACGCCGGCAGGAGCGGGTGGTGCTGCCACCGGTCCTGGGGGACAGCCGAAGGTGACGACGGCTGCCTAGAATTGGTTGTGCTCGCTGCTGTTCCGGCTGATGGAATGGGTGTGCGTGCCGATTGTCTGAGAACCACATTGATCCACTGATATTCTATGACCACAACCTTAAATGGGAACAATCTGCCCCGTGCAACGTGCAGCGTGCAGCATGCTGGCCTGCAGCTTGCCACTGGAATGGGTTTAGAAGCAAAGTAGTCAACCAATGTCTGTTAACAATCTTAGCTCTATCTTTACCCAAGTATTTTACGGATATAAGTAACTGAAACTTTAACTGTAACTTTATAACTGTATAACTCTAAATTCTAAAACGTAAATCTAAAATCTAGCATCTAGAATCTAAACGATATACACGATAAATATACATATATACATAATTGAGATAATATTTATAGATGTACCGACTTCGAGAAAGTGCTATTTAAACTCGTCTAAGACTTCACTGCATAGCCTATGCCTAGAATCTACTATAACTGCAGATTGTTTCATATTCATATACAAAACACTATATAGGTATATAAAGATATATATATATTTACGATCGGTATAGATCAGCGATACCTTATACGATAACGATATAGCCCTTGAATGTACAACATAGCTACTTACTAAATGTTAGAAATTTTACTACCAACTAAACGCGAGATGTATTTATTAACGCCTAACAACCAAACTCTTTAGTATTCCGTCGTAACTCTAATGCCCCTTAACCCCCTCCCCCAATAACAAACAAATTCTCATATATATATGTGTGTATATAGGACAAGCGTACAATAATCGCAAACCCAAGGAGCAAAGTAGTACTAAGTACCTGCAAAAACAAACAAAACAAAACAAAACCGGAAACGGAAACAGAAACAAAACACGAAACACGAAAAGTATCTCTGCAGCAGATATTACGTAGTCAATAAATGTTAACAAATGTTATACTATATATACTTATATATATACATATATAAAATGAAAAAAAAACCAATGAAAAAAAATTATAAATGTACCTTATCTGTTTTTTATTTTCTTTGGAAACTGCCAGTCTTATGGTTTTCTTTACTTTTTAATTCGATTTGGAAATCTTTATTTAGGATTTTTATTTCTTTAACTAAACTTATTGTGAATTTCTTCTAAAATTTTGATTTTGGCGCTCTAGTTTCTTCGTGTCTTTGGTTAAAATTGAATTTCCAATAAACGAAACTACTTTCTCAGAAATAAGTCATCTCCGTTCCGCTCATTTACGATCACCATTACCCCCCTCGTAATCTCCTTTCATCACTTGGTTGAATTTGTATTTTGCGGAATCCTTCCCTGCGGGGAGAAGAGGATTAGTATATCGTCTAGGGTTCAACGCCAGTCCACCTACAGAGATGATGGACCATAACAAAAAACAGCTTAACGAAGCTGGGCTTCCGATGGCTCGTCCCATTCTTTGCGGAATACGTTAGAGGGTCATCTTTGACGTCGTAGAACGGTGGCCACATTCTGGGCTGGATTCGGGCGTGCTTCCAACTAGATTCGACGTCGCGCTTGAAGCGAAAGAAGGAGACCTTTACATTCCGCGGCACAAAGCTCAGTTGCCAGGATATTGGATTGGAGGCACTGGTCAAGGCATCTGCCACTTTCTTTATACTAGTGGCAGTATGATTATTTTTCATGGGCTTCACAAACATGATGACGCCTGGCTGGGTTGTCGGCTTGGGAGTCACCGCCTGGATTATAGTGCTTTCCTCCAGAACATTATCAGTGGTTTCATCAGCAATAGCCAATCCTATAACGGTTTGTTTTTATTAAATTTTAAACAATTAATATCTTACCTAAAAGAATTGGTACCACTATTGCTAAAATTGGTTTCATTTTTCAATTCTGTGTGTTGATTACGTTTGTACAATCAATTTTCTTTTGAAATGTAAGCCACACGCCTTCCTTTATGCCTAAAAACTTTTAAAAGATGCTGCTAGGTTTCTCAATGTTTTTTTTTTTTTCAAATTACGCGCCAATCGTTTTGGTATTTTTATACTAAAAACCATTTGAATTTAAGCTATTTATTATTGTATGTGAAAACTCTAATTTGCATATAAAATGAGTTTACATTAAATAATAAAAAAACATTCAAAATTTTAAAAACAATCGTTACAAAACGAACCGGGTAAATGGATAACGGAGAATAAATTGTGTGCACGGATAAATCGTGATTCAAACATATCGATTGTTGGAGGCCATTTCAATGTCTATCGTCTCTAATTCTCCTTCGTGAACGATTGCTTGAACCGAATATCGGATAAGATAATTTGATATCGGATAAGATAGTGGTGGGCTATGATAAAAAAAACATCGTAAATAACATCGATTGTTGGGGGCGAAAAGACCAAAACAAGGCCAGCCAACTCGAGCCCCAACAAGTCCCATCTCTAACTGTCCGTCTCCAACCTCCGCGATTAAAACAGCTGCAGCGCGAAATAACCCGTAAATATTGCCACCGCACGGTTGAATTTAGTTAAAACTCCCGAAAAAACCCCAAATCCGTACACCCCCACCGTCTACGCTGCCGTCGACGCAGGCAGAGCAGCGGCTGAGCAGCGCAGCAGCAGCAGCAACAAGCAGAGGCAGCGAACGCAAAAGCAAACAATTGGATAAGCTTTATTTGCGGGAGCTGTTGCTGTCCAAGAGTTCAGCTCTGAAAGCCAACAATCCCAAGGTCGGATATAAAAAGAAACCTTGTTAAAAAAGCGAAAATCAAGCGCCTTGCTTTATGTTGTTGCTGCCACAGCGCCGCAACGCAGCACTAGTTGCAGCAACAGCAGCAGCAGCGGGTGATCTCGATTCTTTTGCCTCGTTTCTTTGGTCTTTCAGTGTTTTTTTTTCTGTTTTCGTCGCCGGTGAAATGGTGTCGCAGCTCTCTGCTGCAGTCGCTGCCGCTGTCGCTGCCACTGCCTCGGTTGACGTCGCTGCCGGCGCAAAGACCACCGCAGTGGCCATGAGGGGGAAATTTGTTGTTCTGAATTCTGTAAATGTTTACAATGCATTTTAAAAATAAAACAAAAAAAAGTGTCAATGAAAGAAATGAAATTTGTAATTACAGTTTGCTCAAAAATACGTAAAATATGGCCAAGAAAGCTCAAGCCCCTCAAAACAGCTGAGAAAACGAGTCCCAATAAGTAATACTATTATTGCTCAATATAATTCCATTTGTGCTCTTACAAGCTTCCAAAGCAACAACTTAAAAAAGTAAAAAAAATAAATAAATAATTAAAAGAAAGTGACAAACCGAAAGAAAGCAAAGCAAAGCAAAGAGTGAGAAAGAAAGAAAGAAAGAAAGCCAAAAGAAAAGTGCCTAAATCCCCATGTGTTTTCCGCCCAGAAGTTAATTCTCACCTCCTAAGGCGCTTAAAGCCTCTGTCCAGCCCCCCTTCCGGATTCACCTTTAATTAAATATCAAAAAAAAAAAAGAATTAAAATAAAAGCACATGAGTTGGATTAATAGAAGTCAACTGGAATAGGCCGAACCCCTCGCACAGGTCAGTATCGAAACAATTAGGACATATTACCATTCATCAAGATGCGATCAGATCGCCTCGAATCGGTGGAAACCGGTTTCCGCTAAAAAAAATCATTGGAAAATTCAATTAATTTAAATCAATTCCAGAGGAATCCATCCATCCATCTCAACTATGTATTTTCAAGATTGCATAAGATCCAGGGTTATTAAACGAGTTTAAGGCATATCCCATCAGCGCGATAATTCCCATTTAAATTATAGCCTGTCCCGAGCCGATTCTTTATGGATGGAAATTAGTCAAGTGCGATAGCAACTGTTCTACTCGAAATCGGAGGCGCAGTGCCATTAGTCATGGGATCGTATTGGGGCGGGGATTCCAATTATTTACAGTTTAGTCGGTGTAACTAATTTTTATTGTATTTTCCAGTTACCAGGTATTATTATTTTACATAAGAATTTCATTTAATTGAGAGCAAACAAAAGCATTAAAATTCAAATAAAAATTATGATTTACACAAAAAAATTAAATATGCATTTCAGTGAGTGGTTCGAGAGCAACGACTATGTTTATTAATTTACCTTTTTTTATTAAAGGGTTTATGTTTCTGTTTTTTTGTTTAAAATTTAGCTGCAGGCAGCGGGAACCTGAAATCGGCTCAGGGCCCCCCACCTTCCAGAACCCTTTCAGCCTGCCTGTTTCAGGTTTTTTTCGGAAACCCTTAATGGAAAAAATGTTGAGCGGTCTTTTTGTTTTAAACATTTTTGTTTTTTTTTGTCCTTTTCTGCCATAAAATTGCATGTCCAACTTGCTTTTATTTGATTTTTTTTGAGAAAGAGAGTTTATTGCGCGGAATGCTATTTAATAAATTCCATTTTCAGAAACCCCCCCTCTTTGGCTGTCATATTTATTTTCTTTTGTTTTTTGTTTTTTTTCGGGCAATGCAAAATTTTAAAATTCAATTTCGCTCTCGTTACTTCAATTGCATCAAAGGCCAGGCTCTTGGCCAACAAAAGAGGAGGAGTAGGGCGAGTTGGAGGAGGAAATCCTCCTCTGAAATATGAAATATGAACATCCGTAGAAATATGCACGCAACACAACAGACAGCATCCTTTTTGGCGCACACGGCAATTTCATATTTCATTTTCAGATTTATTATTAAATTTTTGGTCTTTTTGGCAAGGAAACTCAAATGCAGTTCGGAGTTGGCTCGAAGCCCCCCCGAGGCGTTTACTGGTACAATAATAAAAGAATAGATAAAAAATAAAAAGAAAGACTTAAGCACCTTAACTCACTTGGCAAAGAAAAGAAAATATATATTTTTTTATAAAAAAAATGGCTCAAGGAATAATGGGAGAAAGAAAAAAGAATTTCCAACTTTGCTAAAAACTAGAAACTTTTTCAACAACGCAACTTTATCTTTTCTTGTCCTGGAACTAGTTCGTAGTTGTTATTGCCGAGAACTTCCGCTAGAGACTGGAGGGGGTCCTTTCCCCGCTTCCAAGCCATGATAAGCGGCACTTTCAATACTTAAAGCCTCCAGCTTGCAACGAAAAATTGGAGGAAAAACTTAAAGAATGGTTCGTTGGGTTTTCTATTTCACTGCAGCCACGCCTACCCTCTCCTCCCTCTCCCCCCCCAAAAAAAAAAACAAGGACACGAGAGCCATAAAAATGTTCCTGTGTGCTGTTTGGAAAACTTTTGAAAACAACTGGCTGCAGAGGGAAAGGACCAGGCACCGGAGCCAGGTGGGGCTGGCTGGCTGGGGGGCGCAACAGGGAAACAAAAGCAACAATGTTCAAGTGCAGGCACTGGTAAAAAATTGTGCAAAAAAAAAATGGAAAAAAAAATACCCATACTACTCTACAAACAACTCTTAAAAGCTTGCACAAGCAAAAATAAGGGAAAAATATAAAATATGAGCGTTGGAAGCAAAGTTCCGCCTCCTTCGCCACCACCTACTCCTCTACGCCTGCAGCTATGTGGCTTAAAAACAAAAACAATGCCATACCATTTCCCACTTTCCACAAAACTGCAAAGAAAAAAAATCAATAAAAATGCGCATAAATAAATTAAAAATAATAGCAATACGAAAAAGGAAGAATCCACTACTATAGAAGAGTTTCCAGACTGTATAATACCTGGTACTTCTCTTAAACTTAAACTTAAAACTTTGGCTTTATTGTTGCCTACTTTTGGGGGTTTTGGAAGAAGCTATCTACATATTTCTCTAATAATACTCCTCTATAATATAGGGTCTATATCGACCTTATATACAATATACCCCTTAACTATACAAACACTGGGTAATAAAACCCCCCAGCCATTTCCCTGGCTCGTTTTTTTTTTGCCACTTTTCAGCTGTAATAAAGTTGTAAAATGTAAACATTTTTTTGTAAATAAATAATGCCAGATATATAATTGGATTGCCCAGAGAATTTCGCACAAAAAACATCATACTACTATAGAGTATTATTGCAGATTTCATCATGAAAGTGATGATCATTATCGGAAATGCTAAACGAGGGCACCACCAAACTATTTAGCGGCGTCTGTCTGATTTGGCATACATAGTATAGTGTGTACTTGATAAAGCGAATTAGCACGAGATCTGGTTCGTGCCATAAACAAATAAACCGAATTATATATTTAGCCAGGCATCTGTCTGGATTTTTCTGGAACTCCAAAGTGCGAGTTCCTTGGGGCTTTCCTCTCCATCTCCAGTTTGTTATCATCGTTCGAGTGTCCGACTTGCGTCACATGCCTGAATAAAAAAAAGTTGTATATTTTAATGAAAACAAATGTCCGCAAAAAGTAAATCAAATCGACTCAGAAACAAGAAGCAACGCCCGACAAATCGGCGAATCACTTAAGCTTGCAAATCGGAATCTTTATATTTTTTTTTTCATTTTTTTTTACATTGTTATTTATTTTATACTTCCCACATTGAGATGCGACCAGAGCTCAGAGATCATGATCGGTGTGTGCGGCGGGTTATCAGGAGCTCCCAGATGAAATAGGTTATCGCCAGCGGCAATCGTTCGATTCACGAGCCTCGAATTTCTGCCTGAAACGGGGTTATTAAAAGAAAATATTTATAAAAATATGTAACACCTTATACTTACTTACTATGTTCAAGAAACGACCTCTAATGATTTCCCCCCCCAACTTTTTTGTCTCTTCCCACAGCTGAGACTGGTATATTATGGAAAAAGCGAAGGCATATATCAAGAATGAACTTCGCGGTGGCAGCCAGCAATCCGAGCCAGCAACCACGCCCACTCCGCCCTCTCCGGCCTCGGCACCGCCTGCTCTGCCAGCTGGAAAGCATCCCTCGTATCCGCCAGCGGAGCTGATGCCCTCGCCGGGAGCAGCAGCTCATCGCACGAGAACGCCCAGCGAACAGTATCACCTGGGCTATCCACCGCATCCTGCCCAGCACTACTATCCGCCGCATATGGCCGGAGCCAAATCGACCGGAAGGGCGTCAGCGCCACCCGACCACCACCAGGTACCCATGACGGTGTGCTTCGTGTGCGGAGGACATGGTGGCTATGAGCCGCAGCCCCTGCGGATCCGGTATAACGCCGAGCGACCGGCAGAGTCGTACTTCCCCTTTCTGGAGCGACACGAGCCGCCGAACGGGGTTCCGGCAGTGGCGCCCGGCCAGGAGTACGTGTGGGCGTGCATGCTCTGCTTCCGGTCCCTCAACGAGCAGTGGGACGCCTACGAGCGGCAGAAGAAGCCGCTGCTGCAGCGCATCTACCACATGAAGCGGGTGGACGGCAAGGGCTACATCGGGGCGGATGTGGCCACCCAGAGCGAGTACGCCGCCCAGGTCCTGGGCCTGAGTGCCGAGCATCTCACCCAGAACGGTGGCCTGGTGGAGGGCCATGATCCCTACGCTTTGCCGCGCCACTACTCGCCGCAACAGCCGCAAGCTCACCTCCAGCACCACCATCTCAGTACCTCGAGAAATGCCTCGCCCTCGCCAAATCCCAGTGCCGCCGGTGGTGGGGACTTCTACCCGAGGAACTCCACCACCCCGTCGAGCAACCACAACCGGTACCTGAGTCGTCCGCAGTCGCGGGACATGCCGGTGGCCTCGCCCACATCCCGACCGCCCAGCGAGCCGCCGGCGGCCCTCAACCGCCAGTCGGGCAGCTACGCCCACCAGAAGTTCAAGCTGAGCTCCTCGGCCACCTCCAACCCACCGCCGGCTGGGTATCCGGGCCAGGCGGCCTACCACCCCGCCCAGTACCAGCAGCTGCAGCAGCAGACGGCCGCCTACCACATGCTCCAGCAGGTGAGCACCGCCGGCGGAGGAGGACCCGGCGGAGAACCATCCTCGCACTACAAGGGCAATCCCTACAGCGCCCTGCCGTCTCCCGGAAGCGGACAACTACCTCCACCGATCCCAAACGCCGACGACGACAACGCAACGGTCCTGGACCTCCGGAACTCCTCCAACTCCAGTGCTCCCCCGCCGCCGGCCGCCCCCCGTAGTGCCAGTGCGGCGTCCACCAGCCAGCCCCAGTCGGAGGTTGGCATCCTGGACCTCTCCATGCCCGACAAGAACTCCATCACGGAGGTCTGCTATGTGTGCGGGGACGAGCAGCGCCGTGGCAGTCTCATGGAGCTGAGCACGGTGAAGCCCCGGGAAACGGGCAGACCCGGCCAGGCGGTGGCCTACTTTCCGCTCTTCAACGAGCAGCATCCGCGACCAGCTCGCTCCCGTCCAAAGGATCCGCGCGGCATGATCCAGGCCTGCCTGCCATGCTACGAGGACCTCATGCATCAGTGGAATGCCCACCAGGTGAGTTAGCAATTCAAATCCGAGGCCGGGAAGTTCTCGGAAAGAATATCAATCTGTCATTGGCATACATGCATATGGAGGAGGGGATTCCAGCCATCCGGTTTGGATGGAGGTTTGCATTTCATCCGAAATGAGGTCGAGGTGGAGATCTCGGGGAGGAAGTTTCCATTATTTAAAAATAAACTATCATTTTAGATTTAAAGTTTAAGTTTTTTCAATAAGAGTATAGAGTTTTATTGAAATTTAAGTCAGAAATTGGTATTCTATAGCCGATGCTTTAATTTAAAACCCAAAACGACGACGTGCAACCATAAAACGTTTGAATATGCAAATAGAAATGTTTATGGAAGCACCCCCCGCGTTGAAAATATTTTGTGAAAATTTCAATATTGTTCACTCTCGCATAAATAATGGAATTCAATGAAAAAAAGTATATATGGATGTATATACATGGATGTATATTGGACGGTTGGCAGGACGAGTCCGCTGCCAGGGGGACCCGGCACCCAGCACACGCTGGGTCTGGAAATAAAGAGGAAATGCAAAACGGCAATAGCAAACATGGCCGAAAATAAAATAACAAATACACAAAAAGGACAATAAAACATGAAAGGAAATTTAACTTGGGCCAAGGCGAAACTTGAATACTCTTACGGTTATATAAAGAATTTAAAAATACAATTTTTGTGCTTCTTTGTTTTATATAGATTGGTGGAGAATCGATCTACGGTTCTTTTAAGGTATTCTTCTTAAGAATCGGTTTCTTATTTCTCGAGACATGGTGTATATGGTCCAGAGATATGGAGCCTAAATTGTGCCTTCATGGGATTTCAGCCTTTTTAAAGGGGAATACCCCAAAAATTTGATAAAAAAGTTAAAATAAAAATTTGATTGACAGTTTTAATGCAGTTTTAAGAAGAATATAAGATTGAACGGTGTACTATTCCATAAAGGTATTCCTTTTGAAAATCCGATTAATTCGAAAAGATATAACCATCACAATAGAAAGAAAGAACTCGCAAAAAAAAAAATGATAAAAATTTGTTTTCTATATTTTGATGCAGACTTATGGAAAATTCATCTAGAATTCGTTTAAGGTATTTCTTTCAAGAATCGGGTAAATATAAGTCAGGATATATGTAGGTTACGCAATGATTCATATTTCCCTCCCCATGCATTTTCCACATTTTGAAGAGGACTCGCAAGAAAAACTGACAAATAATCTTAAAAAAAATTTATTGTCAAATTTTGATGGTAGATTCTGGTAGATTCATTTAAGGTACTCCGCTTAAGAATCGGATAATTATTGCCAAAGATATAGCCTACCCTGGGAGCCAAATTGTCGGTTCTGGCCTTTTCATCATTTTAGAAAAATTTTACAAAAAATTAAAAAAAAAATTTATCCTATGTTTTAATGCAGATAGAGAGAATCGATCTATAATTCGTTTAAGGTACAATTGGTAAAATTCGTTTATCCGCTTAAAAATCGGATAAATATTCCCAAAGATACAGCCATCCCTGTGGGGAATATTGTAGTTTCATATAGTTTTTTTCATTTTCGAAGGAGATACCCTAAAAAAATTGATAAAAAATCAAAAGGTTTGGATGCAGATTTCTGGAGAATTATTCTACAATTCTTATAAGAAGAATTAAGAATCATCAGATTCCACACAAGAATCGGATGACTATTATGGGGAAAAAATATAGCCTTATTATGGGGACCTAGAGTAGGCCGCTACTTCTTTTATATTTCTCAGATATACCTGATTTTAGATCCTAAAGAAAGTCCCTAAGTGTCATAATATTGCAAAAATTAATAATACCCCTTGAAAGAGTATAAAAAAATGGGAAACAAATTCACGAGAGCAGTTTTTCGCGTCGCACGAATCAAAATAAACAAAAATATTGCCACAGCCCCAATGAGGACGATGATGAAGATGGTGTGGCGATCATGATGATGTTGGCGCCACGGAGGTTGACCCGGGGAGTAGGACTCCCGCTCTCCACAGCGCGGACGATTAATCAGTGGGGTCGTAGTCTCTGTCGTCGTCGTCAGCATCCACATACTGGAAACTGAATGGTAAAATGTTATATGTATTCTATAGACCCCCATTCCCCTTGGAAGAGGGCATTATCATCATCATCATCGTCACAACCACGAGCCAGGGACTAGAGGCAGGGTCGGGGGTCAGTTGGGGAACCTCGGGAAGGCGGCGAGTGTTGTGGGAATTTTGACCGCAGGGTCGCTTGTGTTTCTGATTAAATTTTAATAGCTTTCCGCGATTATTTCGCTTCTTTCGTTTTGTTTTTGTATTTTTTGTTATTCTTTCTTTATTGGTGTCTCTTTTTTTTTATGTTTATTTCGATTTTTTATTTCTGAATGCAAAAATGTATTTATAAATTTTGCGAGACGTTGCCCTGCTTTTTGTTAATGATTGGCGGGATGGGGCATTCATGGGGATGTGTTTAGTATTTTAGTTTAATGATTCATTCGATTCTGTTTTATTCAAAAAAATAAGGTTACTATTTAAGTGATAAAGTCATTGCCCTTTTGAGGTTTAATTGTCTGATGAAATAATTAAATTTCAAGCTTTTAAATTAAAGTGGAAAAAAATCAGTATTTTTTCTCTTAAATTTCAATCTCAAATACCCCTTCATTTTTTTCACACGCAACAAAGCCCACAAATGGAAATTAATTTGTAGCACCACCCACTGACCACTTCAGCCCACCACCACCACCCCCTCGGCAGTCGCCCGCCCTCGACACGAAACCAAAACAATTTGAATTTTAAATTCAGAGCAGAAATTTCCAACAAGCTATAAAAATGCAAAATTCACAGCTGCTGGAGCTCTGTCTCTGCCTCAGTCGCTGCCGACGCTAACGCCAACGTCAACGTCAACGTCAACGCTAGCGCAGGCGCTGGTTGCAACTTGGGGAATGCAATGTGTAAAATGCCGGATAAATAATTAAATGCCATTAATTGGAATTGTGTAAATTTCGCAGGAAAAAGTAAAGTCCAAATAAAAATAGCCAGTTTTACGAAATAATAAATAAATAAAAGCAAATAAAATGGCAAATGCTGCAATGCAGTAGGAAACACGAGAGCAGGGGGAGGGAGGGAATGCAGAATGAATAAATAATCAGACTCAAGAGGGGGTGGGTCTAAGGGGACTGTAGGCTGGCGAGACAAATTAATTAAATTTAACCCAGTAAACCATGGAAATTCTCTCTCTTTTGGCCAACAGCCAGAAAACCAAGCCTACCATCCAATGGTCAACCAGCCATTCACCCATCCTCCGGCCACCTTTGAATTCCCATTCAACGGAAAGTGCGAAAAGCAATTTAAATATTTATGCTTTGCATTTTATTTAAAGATCTCGAAGGAATCGAAATTGATTGGTTTGTTTGGCTAAATGCCAAGAGATCCAACAGATCCAAAAATAAACCAAAGCCATAAACTATATCTAAATAAACAAACTCGTATAAACAAATCACAGCAGATACCCCGAATAATGAAAGACAATGGTGGATATGCTTTTCACAATTTCACAGTTTATTTGTTTTTATTTGAAAATAAATATTAATATTATATAAAATAGTTATGATAAATGCTTTGTTTGCTAAAAAAATTCGTAGATTTGTTGTAAGGCATTAAGTGTTTAGTGTAAACCATTTAGGGGGTATCCCCCATCGCTATCTCTCAAAAAACAGGTTTCTCTTTTTTGTTTTAATCATTAAGCTCCACATAAATGTGCAAATGAACTCGACTCGTTTCTCGTTTTTGGTTAAAAATACATTTAAACAATAAATCAAAGTTATGCATGTTTACCCTGGCATTATAAAATTCTCAATAAAACGACTCTCTCAGTTCCCGCGAAATGATGCCGAAATGAAATATATCCTAACAACCCGAGAGAACATTAATTTAGGATGGTTGTGAATGGGGGATCGAGAACAAAAACAGGAAAGGATTGACAACAATGACCTGCGGTATTCCCTTGGCTTTCGCGAATTTCCTGGCCAGCTGCCAAAAAGTTAATAAAAGATACGAGAACCCAGACACTAGAACTGGCTAGAACTGGTTGCCAAAAGCTATGGGTTTATAGGTCAATATTAGACGTCATAATTAAAAAAACATAATAATATTTACTAATCTTGTAAAGCTAATAGATTACCTTTGATTTTGGGTTTGTACTTTCACACATTTTGTTCAAAACATATATGTATAACATTTAAAGCGAGATAATTTTTGGTATAGGCCGATAAATATTAAAAAATATAGTTAGATTCTGGAAAGTAAGAGTTACTTTCTAAATTCATAAAGTGAGATGGTTAGAGCTCTCAATAGAGACTCTCCCGGGTGTAAAAACTATCCCAGACCACAAACTGCTTGCTTTCCGGAAGCGGAATAAACTCCAGACCATCGGCTATGTTGAGGCAGAGTTCGGGTCCGCCGGGCTTCAGGGGATCCCACTTCAGGGGCGCTATAACCTCGCAGTTGGGATCCCCATTGATGGCAAAGGACGTCCACATGCCAATCATCCTTTCTATGGTGCGGTATTCGGGCGAGTCCTTGTCCAGCTTGGTGGAGAGCAGGCCATAGAACAAGTAGGACAGATCGTCCGCGTGGCACACTCCCCTGACCTTTTTACCGCACTGGATGATCCTGTACTGATTGAAGTGGGACGAGTCCATGTCGAATCGATAGAGGTAGGTGGGTGAGGTGGGGGCGTAGGCCAGCCTGGCCAGAAGGGTCCTATGGATGTCGTGCCAGAAATTCTTGATGCTCAGGATGTGCAGGCACTCGTACAGCTCCATGCTGGCCCGCTCGGGATCATCGAAATAGGAGGACTTCAGGCGCCGCACCATCTCGTCCAGCTCGTCCTTGTCGATGGTGTCGCGTATTTTTCGCGGAATTATCGCCTCGAAGGCGCTCAGCATGTGCGAGGGATCCTTCAGGGTGCTCTGGTACGAGAAGAGTCCCTCGAATGAGGTGCCACCAATAATCATGGGAATCTCATTGCCCCAGGCCTGGGAAAGCTGCTCCTGCTGGGGCTTCGGCACCACGCAGTCCTCCCCCACATAGGACTCGATGACGGGACCAAAGGCTATAATCTCGTAGTCCCGTTCCTCCTCCTGAGTGACGATGGCATTGCAGAGGACGGCCAACTTGCTGGCTGGGATCTGCTGGAAGAACTTCAGGATGTCCGCCTCACTATCCAGATTCCCAGAGAAGCCCAACCTCTTGGCCAACCTGGGGGCAGCGTTTCTGTCCTGTTGCGTGGCCCATTCACACAGCGCCGACCCGGACTGGACGATGGCCCGATGAAACAAGCCCCTTGCCTGCTCCGATTGCATAAGGATGTGGGTGGAAGCCGCTCCAGCCGACTCACCCATTAGGGTTATGTTCTCGGGATCGCCATTGAAGCTGGCCACGTTCTCCTTGACCCAGCGCAGGGCCTGTATTTGGTCCTTGAGGCCAGCGTTGCCGGGAACTTTCAGGCTTTCGTCCTTCAGACTGAGAAAGCCCAAAGCCCCCACGCGATAGTTAAGGGTGACTAGGATGACATCATGTTTCATGAAGTAGTCGGGTCCGTAGATTTCACGAGAGGCTCCGCCAATCTGAAAGCCACCCCCGTAAATCCATACCATCACTGGCAGTGGTTGTGGCGACTCGACTTTCTTGGCATACACGTTGAGATACAGACAGTCCTCGGAGCCCTCGGCAGTGGTTGTGATGGCGTTCCGTTGCATCGGCTTGTCCCGGGCATAGGTGCAGTCCCGGACGCCCTTCCAGGCAGTGGGCGGTTGGGGGGCGCGAAAACGCAACTCACCCACAGGTGGTTGGGCGAAGGGGATGCCCTCGAACGAGTAGTAGGTCTCGCCGTCGTAGAAGGTCCTACGCTGCTGGCCCTTCAGCTGGCCATACTTGGTGGCCAGCTCCTTGGTCTTGCCGGTGCTCAGCCTGTACTGGGTAACCTTATGGCCAATGGCTCTGAAAAGGCCGAAAGGGCAGAGGTTATGATGACTCATCGCTGGAGCTTTTATTTTATTTTTTTCACTTACTTGGCGCCCAACTTGAGCTTGTCACCGAAACCCAAAGTCAGATCCATTTCACCCTGTCCTCCCTGTACTTGCAATACTCTGCTACACTCCTCCTATATGTAATATTCTTATTTGTGTATATAGGATGGATATATATATAGGCGTATAAAAATATATATAATCTCCTTTGGCCACAATCTGCCGGCACTTCCAGCCCGCTCGAACGTCAGACACAGACTGAAATGTTTCTGGGCGCTCCAGTAGATGATAAAATTGTTGTTTAGATAGCCGCCACACCCTCAACGGGAATGGGTGGTGGAGCATGGGGTCTATGGGGTGGAGGGCTAGAGGATGATGGGTATGGGCGCTGGTTAGTGGGTGGTGGGTTGACCATAATTACTGTTTTTTTGGACTCACTCATCCCCCTACTCGGGCAGCACCACTTTTGCCCATATGTGGGGATATGTTGATAATAATGGTATGGTAACCCGGCTATCCCTAATTGGAACCCAACATTGGTCTAGATTTTGATACTGAAAGTGATAAGACACAAGTGTCCAGGTGGGGGAAATCAAATATTTATTGCTAATATGGCTACACAGAGATTAAAAAAAGTGCAAATATTAAAAGTACTTATTAAGGTTCTATATAGCTAACAGGTGGCCGTAATGGGTGGTTCAAGAGGTCAGTATTTCGGGAATTACTACCCTCATTCGTTGGGTTTTAAGATCTTTATTAAGGTTAGCTTTATTTAAGGTTAAAAAGGTCTATAGGCTGATTAGATACAGCTACTTGTAGCTTCTATATCTATATCTATGTCTTATCTGTATCTGTATCTGTATCTATATCTATATCTCCCTGCTCTACACAAGAGCTGAAAGCTATAGAATGTCTGTCTGTCACTAATTAAGCCTTACATTGCCATTGAGGCCTTTGGAACTCACTCTGAACTCTTCAACGATGACGTCGACGATGACTTAAGAAGCTGTGTGTGTATGTGGGTGGTTGTGGGTCTTTCCAAGTGTTGCAAGTTCTAGAGGGTTCTGGGGAGAGGTCGTGGGGGTTACGGTCTCCCTGACAACGAGTCTCTTCTCTCTGGTCGCTGTTTGTGCATTAGTTAATGTGATTATTTCACACTTCGTCTGCTTTCAACTAACATTTAATTTGGCTCCAACTTCCCATTCCCCAACTCGTCCAGCGAGCTGGCTTAGATGGTCCTCGTTTGTTTGCTTTGTTTTGTTTCGTTTACTTTGTTTCATTTGTTTGTTTGTTTGTTTGTTAGCCGGTCTGTGTTTGTGTGCGTTTACTTAACTTTTGTTATCGCGCTGACTGACTGACTGCGTTTGTTCTGCCTTAGTCCTGTCCTGTTCTGGGTTTCGGTCTTTAAACACTCCCTCTTAGATTACCTATCTCTTGAAGACTTTATGCAATTTCATTTATTTTAATGTTTCTCCCGAAAATTAAATTCAATTTTCCAGCAAAATGGAAACTGAAAACCCTTTATCCTATAGCCCCTGTATGTCCTGTGTGTCCTGGGTGTCCTGTCTGTTTGTTGTATTCAATTTGGTTTGGTATTTCGCCTACATTGTTTCCGATTTTACTGTTGCCAGGTGGATTATTGGGTCTCTAAGTGTGTCTGAGTGCATCTCCCCCGCATTCTGGACGGGAGTCTTCCTCGGTATAGCCACATTGTGCAGATTCCGTGCCTTGCTTGCCTTGTTGTTGGTGCTGCCATCGACTAAATAAATAAACATTGCAATCTATGTTGGAGAGCATTTGTTGGTTTTGTTGCCGTTTTCTTGTTTGCTCCGCTTTTCAGCACGGCGCCATTGCAATTGCACACTGGCTACGCATTTGTCTATATCTAGGTACAGTGGAGAGTCCTTAAAATGAAACTTAAACTCTAAAATTTTGAAATAATATAAAGTTTCTAACACTATTAAAAATTATAAGAAATCTACTTAAATTATATCAAACTTCTAGATGGATAGTCCTCTATAGTGATGGTTTCCTGTATCTCTAGAATGCCTCTTGCCATGACGACCTCCAAGTGCCTGAGTCTGCTTCTGCTTCTTCATCGTCCTCTTCTCTTTATAGAGTAATGTTTACATGAAGTAGGCAGCGTCTACTTGCCAAAGGTGATGACCCCCGACCCCAGACCCATAGCTCAGCTCCTCCTATCCTTGTCCTAGTTCTCTCTCTAATATTTTTTTTTTTTGCTACAGTTTCCTGTCGTTTTTTGTAGTCAGTTCAGTGTCCAGTTTTCAGGGTTGGCTGCCGTCATAAGAGGAATTTCAGGCAATAAAATTTCAGGCCAAACATTCAATTCAGAGCTGTGGGGTCAATTTGGTATTCAATTCAATTAGACAAGAATGTTTGCTAAAAATCGAAACAAAAAAGTGCACAAATTAATCGATATTGTGTGCGGTTCTTCGAGAGCTTGAATTTGTTAAAGGTGTGTATGTGTGTGATTTTTTTTTTGCAATTTTAAATTGATTTAGTTGGGCAGCATCATAGCTGATGTTTTTGTTCTTAATTGTTGGTTTTTAATTATGGCCTCCCACTTATTTATTGATGGCCCGGCATCGCAATTATAACAAAACAAAAGCAAATATTTGCGTGCGAAATTTTGAGAAATATTCTAATTTATAATTGTGTATCATTAATTAGTGCTATATTTTCTTATTTATTAAATGAATTTATGATGAGGTAGTTTTGGATTTAATTTTTATGGTTCGTTATAATTAAAACTTTGAAATTTTTCTTATAAAAATGGTTAAAGATACTTTATTTAGATACATTTTAGGTTTTTAGAAGATAAAGATACAAAGTCTTAGTCTAGAAATTTTTATTTCTCGAAAAGTAAGGTTAGTTGCATCATAACTGCCTTCCTCCGCCATAAATAAACTTTTCAAGTTTCTGTTTCCGGAACTAGTTCCATTTGCCGCTGCCGCAGTCGCTGTCTCAGCCATTACTGACTGCTCTTTTCATGCCTTTATTTTTTTTATTTTTTGGCTTTGCTTTTTGCGGTGTTTTTGTCTTGCCATTCGCCGCTCCAATTGAATGTGGTTCATGTCGTGCTCCATGGCTCCCTGTCTCCTCCCTGGCTCCGTTTTAGCTTTTCGTAGATTCGCGTCTCTGTCTGTGTGTGTGTGTGTGTGTGTGCGTGTGAGCTCCCCACGAAGCCGGCGTTGGCGTCGCTGCCGGCTGAGTCGTTTGTTTGTTTGCGTTTGTTTTAGCTGCCCCCATATTGTCGTGGGGGCTGGATGGCTTTGCTGCTGGCTGGCTGGTGTTGGGTGCTGTGCCACCATTTGCCTTCTGCCTTTGCTTTGTTTTCTTGCGGGCCACAAGAACGAAAGCCAACAACAACAATAACAATAAGAACTACTACAGCGACAACAAGGCGCAGGGCTCTATCAGCGGGCAGAGCAGTTGACGGAGCAGCCGGCGCCGACGCCTCGCCTCTGGTCTGTGTGTGTGTGTGTGTGTGTGTGGTGGAGCTGCGGAGCGCTCGATCCGTTCTCGCCGTCACTTCGTCAGTCGCCGTCGGCCGAGGCGGCCATTCCATCGCATTCATCGCAGTTTAGTTCAGTCGCGCGATTTTCAATCTCAATTCGCAATTGTTTATTGCCCAGGCGGCTCATCATATATGTACATACGTTTGAATGTGTGGGTGAGGGTGCTCGTGTCGGTGTTATCAAAACGGCAAATTGCGGCAATCACTTGCTCTCCTTCTTACTATACATATGTATGTGTGTGTGTGTTTGTTTGTGTTTTCGTGCCCTGGGCGCATAAAATCAAAATTGATAAATGCACAACTGGCAATAAAGTGTAACAACAACAACAACAATAATAACAAAAACAAGCTGAAGACGAAGAAGAAGAATAAATAACAGCAAATCCAGCAAAAATGTCGTGTGCGAGATTGTGTTAATAATAAAAGCAAACAAAAGTCACGGCTGTCAAAGCAGTTCAATGTCTCACTACATATACACATATCTCGCTTACACTCCCACTCTCTTGCCAATATCTCCTCCCCTCCCCCCCAGTACAGTAGCCGGTAACGGTGGCAGTGCTCTAAAAAACTGGTTTTTCAAAAAAAAAAACAAAAAAAGCCAACAACAAGTTAACGACGCCGCGTCTGTTTAAAAACATAACGTCGAAAATTGTTGCCCTTTTCCAGTTAGTTAATCGCCCGGAATCGGAATCATCATCCTCGGCTCCAACGCCACACCAAACAACAACAAGAACAACAGCAAAAGGTGTCGCTAGTTAGAGATGAGCGCGTGAATACCGATAATTGCATTGTGATGCGCACTATGTGGCGTATGAGTCATATTTCTTGCGAGTATCTCTCAGATTGTTTACTCGAGCGTGTGTGTGTGTGTGTTCGCTAATCAAATTGTTGGAAGGCATTTCAATGATTTTCATACGGGAACTAATAAACGAAACCGCTACCAGCAGCAATAATTTCAGCAATTAATCCAATTTAAAGCAGTTGAATCGGTTCAGTTCAGTAAATAACCCGTATTATCAAAACAGTTACGGGTGACATCATTAAAGTTAATAATTGGTAGAAAAGTGTATGAAAGAGGAGGCACTTGATGATATTTCCGATTAACAAATGTCTCAAGAGCGCCATATAAATCGCTAAATTATAAATAAACTTGAAAGTAGAGGCATAAATATAAATTCATATATTTTAATCTACCAGAAAGTACCTCAAGATAAAGCCACAAATTGAAACTCTACTACCTATGCGATAACCGAACCGAGAATGTGACTTAATTAGCGCTAAGGAGTGCTACTACATACTACCATCCCTAAAGTCAAGGGGGTCAAGTTTTTTTTTTTTTTGTGGTTATTGTTCACTGTATCTTAACCTGTCAGCAAGGTGGCAGAGCCATTAAGTTGCCCCCAGTCTTTATGTATGCTTGTATGTATGTATGAGTGTATCTGTGTGTGTGTTTTAAGTTGAAGTACAAGTACAAGTACACGACTTTAACAACTGAGGCGCAAGTCAAGAGCAGCAACAAAGCAACTACCGTTTCACTTTGCGAGTTTTTAAACACGCGCGATATTTTCTTGCCCTCTCCTCCCTACAAGAGTATGTGTGTGTGTGTGTGTTTGTGTTTGTTCGCGTGTACCGTTCTATAAATAAACCCACCGTTTCATGTGCAATTCTTCTCCCCCTGGGTCTTCTGCCACTTCTTCCTGCCGGATAGAAAAAGAATGTTGGTTTTTTTTTCCTTATCGGTTATTTAATGTGATTTATTTTGCGTGCAAATGTTGATTTATATCAGCCCCCAAACCACTAACCAGTAACCAGTAACCAGTAACCAGTTACCAGTAAGAGCCAAACAATGCCCCAACTCGATACTCTTTGGCACGCACATGTACACTTAAGTGGGTCAAAAAAATAATTGGCACGCCCTCTTCCTAACCCCAACCGCATACTAGCCCGACACTCGTCCTTGTCTGCAGTGGGCTTCCCACATTGACCCACTTGGGTGGGCTGTCTGCCTTTTACAGTTACAGTCTCAGTTCGGCCCAAGGTCGAGTTTTTCACTTCCATTACCGAGTGCTCCACTCTCTGTTTTGTGGATAATCCAATCAATTTTTAACGACCTGTCGTGCGATGAGGTATCAGCTTTAGAAATGCATAATTTAAGGGCTATTCATGGCATAACTCAATTATAAGGAACAACTATTGGAACTTTAAATAAGTATTAGTTTGTAATTGTTTTTTAAAATCTTGGTAGTTCTCGTAACTCTCTAATTATTACCCGTTGTTAGGGCTTTACTTTCACTTGAGTGCGAAGCCTATTGTAGCCCCGTTGTTATGGTTATCAGGTGCTACGCCTCTCGCACGAGCTTCAATTGATTGTGGGCTGGCTGGAATAATACCGTATACCGGGGGGAGGTGGTATACCCAGGGGCACTACTCCATGTCGAGAGGTGTCGACACTCGTATTCACGCGAATTGTATTCTCACCGTGCGGGCCATTTGTGGCACTCGGTGTCGTCCGCCATTCAGTTGCCATTGGCAGAGCAACAGGTGAACTCTGGCTAGAAGATAGTACTATATTTCCCTAACAATTTCTCTCTGTGCACCGGCATGTTGGCAAGTTGCATGTAATGCATAATTAGTTTACCTCTTAATCCGGACCGTTGATCGCGTGTGATGGGGGAATTTGAGTGAAGTGCTGCCCCCGGATGCATCTGTATCTTCATGAGCGTCACGTTTGCGTTTCATCCACGCCCAAGTGCACACCGCAACCATTCTCGTTAATATCGGTTTCAATTAAACTTAATTTCTATCGTGTCGTAATTAAGGTGCCACACAAAGACCAACCAAAGGAGTTCTATAATTAACCCAACAACAGAAAACACCAGTAACAGTGTTAATACCATAAGAAGTGATTCATTCAGACTCAATTGAAAATAATTGAGCAATTGAAATGCTGTGAAAAATGATCCATATTTGTGCAATTAACGAAAATACAAAGCATTTGAGTGCTCAGTGATTCCAAAAATGGCTCAAAACCTCACCATGTTGTCCGGTGATGGCAGTTCAAGCCAAAATAACAAAAATAGCAGCAACAATAATGCCAATGAAAACAGCAACAGCAGCAATACGTCGGTTAACTTTAAGCCAAAGGATACCAATGGCTGGAAGGACTACAAGAAACTGAAAACGTATCTCATACTCAAGGACCAGCAGAGTGAAAAGGTAAACTGGTTATAGAACTTTGGTTCTTTGAGGCAACTATCACGATTCAATCAATCAATAGTGACCTAAATTATGGCCAAAGCAAATAATTAATAAAAACTTGTAGATAAATAAAGCAAAGTCGACATAATCCCTGGAAATGGGGGACAAAAAAAAGAACATTCATTAATTAGCCAAGTTAAGGGGCTTATTTATAATATATGCTCTTTAAAAAGTGTCTAAAAGTTACAAACATTCCACCCACTTTCCATCACTTTGTGTCTATAATTAACAAAACAAACGGCACAAAAGTTATGAAAGAACCACAAAAAAAAAACACAAAAAAGTTCTTCACAAAAAGTTATTAAACGGTCATGACCCCCATTCTCGAAATGCTTATCAGGCAGAGCATGAAAAGCCCCAAACAAACAACCAAAAAAAAATGAGAAGAGGGGGAAAAGCCGGCAGAGGAGAATTGAGGTCTAAAGAGTTTTATTTTCAAGGGGGTTGGGAGAAAACAAAAAAATAAAAAAAGTATAATAAAGTCAACGAGAGCGAACATACAAAAAATATTACAAACTTGTTTTTCCACAAAAAAGCCCGGCCGGCCGACTGCCGACTGCCGACTTGTAAGTGGGCGTGCCAGTGCCACATCACAGAAGCAGGAGACGCCACATGGATCAATAAATATAGATGACATGGCACTGTCCAGATTGATGTGATGCGATGTGCTGTATATGTACGCGCCGCATGACAAGGCAAACAAACAGAATGGAAACAGACACGGATACATGAACGCACATAAATACTTGCCACCTCTACCGTAGTTATAGATACGCGTCCGACTGTCCGTCTGTCCGCTTGTCCGTTTGTCCGTCCCTTTGTATCTGGAAGTTCTGGCCCTGTCTTGCCTTCAGTTGTGTAATCAAAATGCGCGCCGCCTATCAATGTCAGAAAATCTGACACAATGATATACGAAAAGTAAACAAACAATTAAATATACTTAGTGCCTAATAAAATAAATTTATGCTCGGAATCAGACTTCTAATCTGACGGGCAGCTGCCCAGAAACAAAGGCTTCTTTGGAGATGCCTTAGATACATAATTTCAAGCAAGTATTCCTCGCAAAAAGATTTGCCAAAAATTATGCAAATAATGTGAGAGAACCTACTGGTCGTATACGTAATATGGCAACTGGCACTTGTCGGTTGAGGGGGCGGTCTTGGGTATCCCCCGGGGGCCTTACATATAGGATTATTAATTTGTATAAACACAGATGACGTCTGACAATGAAGAGCAGCGCCGGGGGGTAGAGTTCATCCTCCTCCCTCCCGTCCCACATGTCGTATACGCAACGTGCCATTGTTTTTCAAGGGAAATGACAGCTACGAGGCGGAAACTGTTGTTTACAGGTGCCATCCCTCATAACCGAATGATTGAATAGAATTTAACTTTCAATAAAATGGGAATTCTATAAAAATATACGGATGGAAACCGTGGATTTTCTGGGTCATGGGTATTCATTGTAGAATTCTTTAGTTAATCTGGTGGCTTAAAAAAAAGCCCAATTGGTAATCCATTGACTATATTAAGCGGCTTTTTTCTATAAACCGATTTCTACTGGTTGCATCACGAAATGTTTTATTCATACATGTGTCAGGCTGCCCATCAACACAGATGTAATTCGTCAATGTCAATTATAGAAGATATAGATAGATAGATTCTTAAAAAAAGAGTAGGCATAATAGCTATTAAGATTGGAATATTTGTTTGACGACACATGTCTTGGGTTTATTGGCACATCGTTAAGGTCGTCACCGCACCTTCGACTTAACAGTTGTTTGCTAAAATCCCAGCTTTGTTAATCGATTTTAAATAGAACCGTATTTGTGGATATCACACCTCCGTTGTTGTTTCTATGGAGCGGTGTAATCATCACTTATATAAGGATGCTAACTGAATCTGCAAATTTCCGGATAAGTGACTAATAAGACTCTATTTTCCAGGCCTCTCACAAACCGGAATCGGAGCGATCCTATCAGTTGCGAAAACGCTCCACGCCCGCAGCCGAGAGAACCACCTTCGTCTGCTACACCTGCGGCTCGGACACGCCCTCCTCCCAGCTGCGTCTGGTCTACTGCTGTCCGAATGCCGAGCGGGAACCCTACTACTCCTTCATCAAGACCATGGTAGCCTACAAGAACGCTAGTCCCATCAGTCCGCAGGGTAAGTGCTTGAGGTACACACAGTTTGTCTCACCAACTAATGCCATTCGTATCCTCCCCACCAGGCATGGTCCAAGTCTGCTCTGCCTGCAATGAGAAGCACAGCAGCCAGGCGGAAGGTGGTCCGCCTCCGGCTGCCCACTCGAGTGCTTCGCCCAGTATTGGACACGCGCTGGAAGCGACCTCGGCGATGTACAATTCCAGCGGAGCTATAGCCGGCAACAGTGTCGCACCGTTTGGGGGCCGCAATTCCCCATCGGAGAAGTCCCTGGCGAATTCAGATTCCACGAGTAACGTGCGGTTTAGGGTAAGGAGTCCGCCGATAACTGCCTGGTCGCAGTTTAGGGAAATCAGTGGAGGTGCTCGAGGAACAAAATGCTGAATGAAACCAATTGTTACCGGTTCGTTTGAGTGGAATAGGCAGGCAGGCAGGCAGGCCATTTCACAGATGACGACGACGCAGTCCAATAGATCGATTGTCAATATCAATTTGTATTTGAGCAGGGGTACCCTGCTACCCTCTTCTAATGGGATTTTTAATTTCCCAGCACCATAAATAATCCAATCTGTATATACTGTACTCTATATATATGATGGTCGGTTAAGTGCGCAAACATGGAAATTTACAACGAGACTGCGCGGCAGATAATAGTACGAATATGATGTACGAATATAGGAAAAACAATGATTGCACTTATTACACCCCGAACGGATCGGATGGGATCGCTTGGGTCAGTAGCAGTGGCACTCTCGAGGCACTGCGATAACATTGCTCACATTTCCAGCGATTAGCTGGCCCCCGCTTGCCCAAGTGGTATGTGAGCGATAACCCCAATGATCCAAGCCCCATTCAACTACGGTCTGTCTGGGCGTGGGCATATAGTCCGACGTACAGGCCACGTACAGATCACTGCAGATGGTTCACGACCTGAAATTGTTGAGTAATTCATTCGAGTTTGAAGTCAGAAGGCCGTTGTGGCCGATGTAGAGTGATAGAAAGTCGGCTTATCAGTCAGTCGGTGGATCGGTCGGGGGGACTAGCGCTAAAATGAATTCGATCGTCACTATATGTTAACCAATTTGAGTCAACAAATTGTGAGATTAGATAGCCCGTGTAGCCCACGGCAGCTCTGCATGCTCTGCCACTGCCTCGCGGGTCTGGGAAGGGGCTCTGTAGGCAAATAAATATAGAGCAAGTATAGTATAGTATAAACCCAAAATGAAATTATCGCATAAGCTGGACGGGCAATAAAAACTGGGTAAACTTGGTTCAGTCCGACTGGGTTTTATTCTTTATTTTGTCTGTTGGTTTAAGGCATCTGCTTTTAACCGGTTTACTTGGCTATCTCTACAATACTACTTAAGGTTTTTTTTTTTATATTTATTGCCAGCTGTTGGTAGCGTCTTAATTTTGTTTATTTTTGTTTTTTAGTTTTGTTGTGACTTTTATTCCTCTTCTTTCCTAATTTGAAATCTTTCAGCGTTTTGCCCGTGTTCGAGACAATTGAAAGACTTGTCGTCGCCCCGCTCGTAAATTATTAGACATCGCCGTTGGTCTTTTGCTCTTTATTGCTGTTTATTTTCGCATATATTTAGAAATATATATATGGTCTTCTGTTTAGATTTACGAAGTCGCGCATAGTAGATACTTTTGTTTAATCTTCCAATGTTTGTTGACTATTTGTTTAGCTTAATTTGTCTTAAAGTGTTTTCTTTTTCTGTGTCTCGGGTGATTTACGGTTCTGTTCTGAGGTGATTTCCTGTGTGGTTTTTTTTTGACTCTATTGATATTAGTTAAATATTTAAGAAGAAATAAGCTGAAAGTAATAATCCAAAGCCTTGACAAAGTTGACTTAAATGTTAGGGTGGTATTTTTATATTCCTTAGTATTATGATGACTTAATATTTTAAAACTTAACTAGATTCTTCCAAACAAAATTCAGACAAATTGGATGATTTTAAGAAAAGTTATAGACCTTTTAGTCTGCTTCCCTAAAGGTGACTCGTTCTTAAGCACTCAAAAGTAGGCAACAAAAGTTCTTATACTTTGCTTTAAAAGAGTAGAGTACCGGGTATCACACAGTCTGGAAACTTTCTGTCTCTATTCTTTTCTAAGCAATTGCCAAATGTTTCTTTTTCTCAGTTTTTTTTTTGGGGTAATTGTTTGACATTTGTCTGCTGTGTTGTCTTTGATTAAACAAAAGTCATCTGTTTGCCGAGCGTGTGCGTGGATAATAAGCAAAATTCCAACAATAATTTATCTTTGAACAGGTGCCCCGTCTGCCCCCAAGGCGTATGCTCTATTTTCTATACGATATAATGCAGTATGCTCTCTATATATCTCTATATACATATATATGAGGGGCTTTATATCCAGGTCATTGCACAATCGGGCACAATCGTTTTCGAAACTCGTTTACTTGCATAAAGAAACAGTACAAACTGAAGTAAGAAATACGAAATTCGAAAATTAAATATAGATAAATGCAAATATTTATCAATAGGCCAACCAGCAAGCAACCATAACAACAACAACAGTAAACCGTAACCCGTAACCCAATATTTAAACAATTCTTTCTGAAATGTTTACATTTGCATTGTCTTATTTGTTGATTTCTGTTTTCGTTTTCATGACGCGAAGGAGAGCGAGTGACTTAGTATTTGCATTACGGTCCCCAGGGCTTTGAATTGCAAATGTTTGGCTTGGCAACCAGGCTAGTATACCTTTATTCGAGCCGGATCGGATCCATATCTGGTGACTGACTCTTCCCCCAGATAACTAACACTCACTTAATAGAGCCCTGTAAATGTATTAAGCAAACACCTGCATTCACACTCGCCTCCCGAGTCATTCAACCTTCTCAAGTACTACATTTTAAGTAATAACTGCTAATAGCCGAATATAAACATACTCTTCGGCCTACACAGGCCCAGATCTCAAGACTCTGCCCACAATCACTTCAAGTTCAAGAGCCCCCCAAGAACCCGAAGAGCAGAATGACCCTCGAGAATCCAATTATATTCAAATATAGACAGTGTTGACACACATCAGTCGAATGATGTTAAGTCATGTTTATGAAACAAAAAAAGAAATACGAAAATAAAATAAATAATAAGTCAAGAACTTGTGTGCACTTCCCCGATGATGACTTTAACTTGTGACCCCCCAAGAGCCGGGATTGATAACCAGCTGGCATAACCCCCAGCCCCCACATCTAATTAGTCCTAAACCGAACCTACAGATAAGGGGCTTTTTGGCTTTTGGAGAGCCATTCGCTCTCGTTCTCGCCCTCGAAATATAAGTCGCAAATCGAAGGGAGATAAGTGGGAAAACGCACATGGTTCGAACTGGTTCGAATCGGTTAGACGGCAAAAGTCCAAAGCAAGCCCGGCCAAACACCAGTCATAGTCGAGTGCCTGCTCCTTGAATAGCAAATCAATCGTATTGAAAATATTTAATAAAATTTTTGGTGGGCTTTTATATACACTCCTCTTCATTTCGCCCGCTGATTAGATAGAGTTCGGTTCGTTCACAGTCGGCTCCGTGATATTCTTAGAACTAATATAATAGTACACAAATAACGAATACAATCTCTGTACTAATACTTATACTTATAATATTTTCGTTTTCATTCCGCAATTGATAGCCCTACGAGACGAACTCTAACAATTCCAATTCAAACACGGCACGCGACCTCAAACAAATCCGTCGCAGCGATTCGCGACCCAACTCCCCCAGTTCCAGCCAAGGAGGAGCCATCGAAAATGGTCACGGCCAGTATCCGTAAGTGCTTTATCCTCGTCGGATATCTTTGGATATTCAACTAACATGATTATATCTTTCAGTTGTTCCATTTGCAAAGTACTCTGCCCCTCTAACAAAATGGATTGGCTGTCCACCAGTGCCGAGCACATGAATTCCCATGCCATGCACTTTCCCTGTCTCAAGGCCAATGCCGTCAACACCAACAACAACAACAATAGTAATAATAATAATAACAGCAACAACAATAATAACAATAACAACAACAACAGTAATAATAATAACAATAACAACGAGTTCAGCAGTAATCGCGTGCTGGCCTGCAAGGACTGCAAGGATTACTTGGCCAGCCAGTGGGAGTCTATGGACGCCGAAAGGGTACCACTCGAGCACAGAAGGTTCTCCATACATACATGCTGGCATTTAAACAATTCAAGACACTAATGTGACCTACTTTCCAGATACAACATTCCCTCACCCATGATGAACTCCAGTTCGCCAAACGGATCTCGGCACGGCGCCATGAGCATCAACACGCCGCCCTCCACACCATCTATAGCGTCGTCGACGGCTGCCAGCCAGTCCATCTACTGCTTCCTGTGTGGCCTGCACTCGGACTTTTCTCTTGCCAGAATTCTATATGCCAGCAAGGAGGTAGAGTCTTGGGAAACTGGAAAACTTGAAGATGATTAGCTTCGATTATCTGAGAAATTTTATTCTGTTAGAAGCGCAAGCTAAGTGCTCCTAAAGCTCCTAATCTTCAACTAGGATATATAGACTTTCATTTAAACTTCACCCTCAAGCACTTGGATCAATTTTCAATTTGTGCCAAACAATACACACTGTGTGTGAATCGTTTGCCAAACAATTTTGCCAATTTTCTGATAAGCTTTCCCTAATTAAGGCCCAAGTGCAGTCCATCAATATAGATAAAAACGCCATCGGGCTAAATTATAATGTAACATGATAGTGTGCACATTGTTTATAGATTACTCTAATGCAGGTACCCAGTGCTTGCAAATTAATATGTTTTATGAAGCTTAGTTCCCTTTGTAAATCAAATTACTGAATCTCCAATTAATTCCTTTTAGGGATCCAGACCTTATTTTCCTCTGCTGCTGAAACACAACTCGCTGCCCAATGCCGAGCAATTGAGGAACAATTTGGCATTGGTCTGCACCTTCTGTTACCATTCCATGTTGAATCAGTGGCGCAAGTAAGACGGCTCTTGTTAAATATTTATTATACAAACAATTACTAATGATTTTCCACTATCTTCCACCAGATATGAGGCACAGAGTCCCAGCGTTAACCCAGCGGATCGCAAATACAATTGGCACGATTACAACTGTCACCTGTGCGGGATTACAACGTATAGGAAGCGGGTGCGGGCCTTACCCGTCAACGAGTTTCCATTCGTGAAGAACCAGAAGAGCGAGGATGGACTGCTTCTTGAGAATGGAGAATATGCGGTCGTTTGTTTGGATTGCTATGAGAGCTTAAGGTGGGAAATGGGAATTATAGGAAATATTAGGGTTTAATTTTAAGGAAGGTCATGATAGTTTATGAAAGAGCTTAATTTGGCCTTTAGAGGAACTTAAATAGACCTTTGAAGGTGTAGGATTGCTACAGAAACTAAAGACAGGCTTAAATGGCTTCCAAATGATTGTTAAATGTGCAAAGTTTTTATATTCTAGAAGCTGAAGTTATATCTTTACTGTATCAATCAATATTATGGTCTAGAAAGCACTGTTTTTAAACAAAAAATCGTATATATATAAGATCCTGTTTAAACTATCATAATATTGTTTAAAACTTACATAAAACGACCTCTAAAAAGTCTAAAGATATAAAATATTGAATGATTCACTGCCAAAAGTCTAAAAAGCCTCAAGAGTTGAAAGCATAATGTAATTAAATTTGTCAAAAAATGATAGAACCTCGTGATAAAATGTCAATATAATATATAGATAGTTGAGATCCTCACAAAATGATTTATAGCCAACCTTCTTATCTAAGGCCCTGTCGAAAATCACATGAAATTCAAGTAAAATTTCTTGCAAGACTTATTAATTGACATATGTTCCAATTTTTTTTTTTGTTGCAGACAACAAGCCTCGCAGCATGACCGCTTCGGGGTGCCCATATCGAGGCGGGCCTACAACTGGGTGCCCCAACCACCGCCCCCGGAGGACAGTCCCGAGTCCGCAGTGGCACGATTGCCCTGCGGCGAACGGTCCGATCGCATTGTAAGTGTAATCCTTACCCCTTTCTCCCTGAACACAATGCAACCTGACCCTCTGACTCTCGCCCCTCAAACAACAGCTCATCAGCAACGCTCTGAGGCCCGTGCCAGGAAAGAAAACGACATCGCCCAAGCAGTACGACAAGTCAAAAGAAGGTAAGTGACTCCGCCATTGCGCCATTGCCCCCCAATGAGGGTAGGGAATCCGATCCGATCTGATTGCGATTTTGCTTCGGCTGGCGGTAATGCGAAACGCTCCGCCAGCGCCCCGGGGTTAGCGGGTTCAAGTGAAACCCAATTCGCGTCAATAAATTTCAATTGGTTTCACTTAACTCTGAGTGTTTGGCGTTGTCCGGCCAGTTGGCTCCGACAGTCCAATAATAGCCTTAGCTCTCCGGTTCGTTTGGCTTTTGCAAAGTGAAACATTGTGCAGTTGGGCTTGCATTTGCAGACAGTCTTTGCTCTTGCCTCCCGGTTGCCATATTATTTTGCATTTGCCACAAAAACGGTTGGGTATTTGTGGGTAGAATCGTTTAGTTGGTTGGGCATTTGATATTTAAGAGGATTTATGGAGTTCTGAAATAGACAGAGTGAGCTAAAGCTGGTTCAAGGTTGATCCTAGATCTAAAAGATGATCTATAATTCCTTGTATATGATTTATTCAAAATATTAATTTATAGATCCCATGTCTTACCTTTTTATAAAAAGAGTATCCTCTCCAACAAATAAATCTCTTATTTTTGTAGCAATTTTATTTTCTGAATTGAATTTACCATTTTTCGGCATATCATATTGAGCCTTGTCCCTCGAGGGTCCTTACACATACACTCACCCACTTGGAAATCTCGGCAAAAGCCTCTCTAATTGCATTTTCCCCCAAAAACCCAAAAAATCTGAATTCAGAGAGGAAATATTCGAAGCTGAATAAGAAATCAACTGATTAAATGCCCAATAACAAGCCGAAACCACAACAAGGATACGGAATCACTAGAAGCAGGCTTCATATATACTAGCTCTTGTAATAAATATTGATTTTTTATGAATTGCAATGAAGAGTAGGGGGTGGGGGGGTAGGAGTACTTGGGGGTCCTTGTATCCTTCTCTCGCTCACTTATTTATGCAGGAGCAATGGCGTCGGTAAACTTCTTCAATAAAATGCCAAAAAGGAAACATCATAAAAATAAATAAACAGAGAAACCACAAGCACACAGACTGTCAGCAACTGTTCAAGTGTGTTCACTGTGTGGGTGTGTGTGTGTGTGTGTATATAACTTTGCACACGAATTTTTATGCAGCTACCCAACCACTACCCACTCAGTTATACACCCACTCACATACACATACACTCGACTGAAACCACCTACAAATACCACTTCCGACAACAGCAATCCCCAATCCCCCCCAGAAACGAGAACGAAGGACCCACCGACCAACCGAGCGAGCCAAGCACAAATAATAAAAGCAACAGCATAAAGTATTTCGAATTGAATTACTCCGTGTTATCCTGTCAACCATACGAAAACACTCAAGACCATTCAACATGCCACACGCTTCCTGTACCGTTCTTTTCTGGGGGGAGAGCTCTCTCTGGGGGATTGGGTGGGTGGTGGAGGTAGTACTTCACTCCCCGAGTACTCCATCCATTCATTCATTCATCCCTGCCACCCACCGTTTAAGGAGTTGGCATCGATTTGCAAAAAGTATATTACCTTCTAAAGTGAGAAAGGAGTGTACTCAATACACTGAAAATAATTTTCAATATTGATATTTGGGTATTAAATATTTTCTAAGGTTATATATTATTTGTTTTTTTAAAAGACCTATGTTTTCTTGAAGATCAATGTCTATTTTTTTCTGTGCCCCCCTCCTTGCTATTTCATGCCTCGTGCCGCCCGCCTCGTCCCCCACCCCCTTTGGATGCCAATAAAATGAAGTTATGCCACGGAGTGGCAGGGGCCTGGGGTGGTGGCTGGAGGAGTTGAATAAGTAAACATAAAACCACTGAATTTACGCTTATTGCACCCGCAAACATTTTGTTTAACACAACAACAGGCATCGTCGTTGTATATGCTCTTACTCTTTCATTCAGTCTAGCTCTATCTCTTTCTCTGTCTCTGTCGTTGCACAGTGGGCTGTGTGGGTGTCATTTCCGGCCTCAATTTCAAAAAGAAGCTCAAATTTCCACACAATTTTCCGGCTTCGCTCTTTGGCACTTTGGTTGGACTCCGCCTCGTCTCGTTTTCGGTTTCGTGCCGCCTCTGACTCGGGTTTTTTGCACCCCCAGTTGACGTTGCAGGCCCCCGCCCCCTCGTCTTCCCCCGTCACTGACTGACTGACAGCCGTTTCCTCGTTGCCACTTGTTCAGTCAGTCACTCAGCAGAGCAGCAAAGACTCAACCCTGCAACCTGGCCCTCTCGTTCTGGTTGCCACCCAAAAACCCCAAACCACAATTCCGTTTCTGTTTTTGCCGCCTTTGCTGGGTTGTGCTTTTTACTTTTGCCACATTTTGTTGTTGTTGTTGCTGTTGGCCATGCCCAAGTTGCCACCTTTGCCACAAAAATATTTCAAGCGCTCACCTCCCCCCTAGCATTTCAACTACCCCTCCTTGGTTTCCGTTTTGCGTAGAATAACAGTTACATTATCCTTTTTATTGCCACACTTTCCAGACACGAATGCCAGGACGAGACTGAAAGAAATGTGTGAGAGGGATAGCATGATTGGAGGTGGGGAGGGGTATGTAAGGGGGTGGTAAACCAAGCCCAGACACAGACATATTTGGCTTGTGGCAAGCTACGACCTGCCCCCGATCCCGATCCTTTGCCCATTTTCGTCTCCCTTCACTTTATTGTGCTCTCCTGCCCCCAACTGGGTACTGGGTGGCTTCCAGGAAATTGTGGGCAAAAAAATGTGCATTTATTTTTGCTGGAGGAGAGCTCGGTTGACTGCTCCGCCAGCTTGGTTGCTTGGCTGGCCTGCTTGGCTGGGCCGCTCGAGTCGCAGTAAATTGTGGTAAACACGAAGCCAAGTGTTTGGAGAGTATTTACTCGGCTATGCCCCAAACAGTGGTAGTGGCACGCACAGTGGGTCGCATCGTCATTTGCATAATTGGCAAACATGATTGCATGCTAAAAAGGCTCACTATGGATATGTGTGTGCCACCAGGGTGTATGATGTATGTATGTATATTCAAGGGGAATTATGCAAAGTAAAATTGACTTCTGCACTTAGATTATGTAAATTTTGTCATTACTCTTTGGTGTTTATTATAGAATTATAATATATGAAAGGATATAAAACACTTTAGGAAAATCTATAGCTAATTTCGATAGCTGCCTTGCCACATCTTCCATTCTTGCCACAAACCTAACATCTCTGTTGGAATCGCAGTCTTACAACTTCATCCCTGTGTAATCATCATCATCTGTTAGCAGCAGCTGATTTATCCCACACTGAATCGCTCCGATATGCATATGTAGCTGTCAGCACATAACCTCAACTTACTTATGGATATATCGGGTGTGGGCAGGACTCTCTTTCTGTCCCTTTGCACGAGCACATATAAAGCGCTGATGTGGCATGAAAAAACATATAAATTCTGCCAATCGATGAAGATAAAATACATTTTGTAATACGTTAGCCCCACACCACAACACCCTTATCGGAGCAGGGTGGGTGGTAGGAGGGCGTCTGAGGTCAACCGTTTGAGTGTGGGCGTCTTTTGGGAGTCAACGAAGTGTGCAACGTCAACTCACACACACAGACACACACTCACTGACAAAAAAGGCATTCCATGTGGGTGTAAGTGAAATTTCAAGTGGCGCTACCAAGGCAAACTTCAGCATTGACTCTTAGTGTGCCACCCTCTTCAATATAGAGGGTGGTACAGTGAAGCTTCTATAATAAATTATCTTTAATTAATACCTATAATAATTTATTTTATTTATTAACTTGCTAGATCTCTTGGTTATAGATAGTTATTATAATCTCTTTTAATATTATAGTTTCTTATATTCACTTGTAAGATTATTTCCTGTACCTTTGTGGGTTATTTTATGAGTGTGGGTATGGAAACCCTTTAAAAGCTTGTTGTTGCCAGACACATAAACGTTTAGCCCATAAACCCTTGATGTATGGAACATAAACACCACACTTGCAAGTGCCACTCATTTGGTGGTTTCTCGGGGATTCGGTGTTTTGGGTTCCGAGAGGTATCGTGGGGTTTTGTGGCCCTGGTGTCAGTGGTTAGTGATGGTGGTAGCTTGCCATCCAACCAGCCAACCATCCAACCAGCCAGCTAGTCATCCAACTAGCTAACTGCTAACTGAAATCCAATGTGTTTCCGGACTCGTGTGTTCCGGATACGGGGTTGGGGTCTTTTTTTTTTTTTGGAAGGGTGTTCCGAGCTCTCAGTCCTGCAGACCGCAATGTCAATAAATATGTTACGCCTGACTCGTCCTTTTTTCGAGGGCTGCTGGCTGGCTGGCTGGCAGGATGGCTATGTTGTTGGTTAGCAATTTGGTTAAACATATTTATTTGAGGGTGGTGGTCGAGATGGGTCTGAGTGTTTTTCTTTTGTTCAATTTCGGTTGTTCGGCCATCGAGTTACCCGTAACAATTTCTGTATTTTCCTATTCAATTTCGAAGCATCGATTTATTTTCGACAATTCGACAGGCTATTGGTCTATGCCTATGCAATAGCAATACCAAAAAAAAAGGAAAATATTTACATACAATATTTTGAGGCACCCTCGAAAAATTCGATGCATTTATTTGCACAAAGTTTCCCATTCAAATTGCATTTTCGTGTAGAATAAATTGTGAAATATTTTTATTAGCCAGACTTATGAGATCTTCCCTGTTGCAAGGTTGCTGGGAGAAGTTTTTGGACAAAAGATAATCTTATTGTTGCACCCTTTTGCAACTAATTCCTATAAGCAAACTTTTGAGCTCTCAACTATACGTTTTTTGCTCCTTCTTCTTGTTCCATTTTGCAAAATATGCAGACCCAAATTTAATTAAAAAACTTGACAACAACTAAGGAACTCTACACATCCAGACAGACGTGGAATATTATCAACCCCCGAAGTACAACTGCGAAAAAGAAAGTAAAAAGCTGAGGAGAATGCGCCAAGAAGTGCGCTACAAAATTTTCTTTT